TGACACACAGCCTCAGACGATTAAAGCGGTAAGTATTTAAACGAGTATAATTGTGTGTAAGTGCAGTATATTTGAATCAATGCAAACGACGCACTTTGAAGAAATATCCAATTAAATGTTAAATGTTGGCGGACTTAAAAGGTTAAAAATTGGTACATTTTTTTAAATATGCATGAATGTACTTGTATCAGCTCAATATAACAATAATCGCACAAGCGGCGGCAATTTTTCTTGGAATTAATTTGCTACTAAATTGGCAATTAGTTCACCTTATTTAAGACGAGCACAAAGAAATGTGATCATTAACACCTTCGCTATTTAATTGTGTTGAATTCATCAATATAATAGTGCTATACATATGCAGACATATATTTCTGTTTAAAATTAAATCATATTCATGCTCGCGTGCGCATGGTACGCCTCGATTTGTTGTAACACAGTGGATATCGATATTCTTGGAATATTGCAAAGTAAGATTCTGCTGAAGATTTAAGAAACATTGGTAACTAATCGTGCAAGGTGGAAAAAATGTATGACCACATTAACATATATCTACATTTAGCCCAGCAGCGACGCAGTCTAAGTTATGTCTTTCAATATACAATATAATACTTTTAAATACACGCTCTCCTTAGTTCATTCAATGCTGATAGATGAATTACTGATTTGATTAATGCTTAGGAAAGCAGTGGGAATCTCCGGATTTACACTTATGCAATGCAATTTTGAAAAAAAAACAAATGCAAACATCAACAATTACTGTGCGATGTATAGGCTAACGTGCCTCAGCTGGTGTGAAACTGGTTTTGGGTCAGTTAACAATTACTGAAGCCACCATAAATTCACCAAATAAATGCAACAAAGCAAATGCACAATGAATACTTATGTTGTAGTTGTATTTGAAATTGCCATGGCGAGAAAGGATCTTCCTCGTTTTATATAAGAGACAACAAACGAGCTATAGCAACAGCCATGTTAGTCACAAACGAAAAGTATTTGAGTATGAAGAAATGTGATTTCTTCACAGTAGACAACTGTTGCAAGTTTTCTGCATATAACAATTCGTGGGAAGGGAAGTGAAACAAACATTTAGCTACGAGTTGCATGCAACATTCGTTGGGCAGCGAATAGCTGCTAGGCAGTAGGTGGCTGTTTTCACAACCACATGCAAATCAAACCGGAGTTTGTCACAGTAAAAATTGGTCGAAAAGGTCAAAAAGGAGGTTTAAGGTTTGGGAAAGCAAAGCTAATATGATAATAAAAATCTCTAAAGATTTTGAGGTATGTTAGGGTAGTCTTTAAACAGAGGAACACACTTTTTAAACCAGATTTCTGAAATCGGTCAAGTTTGACGAAGATCAAAGCGAGTTGGGAGATCTTTATAGATACTCAAAAATATATAACAAAGTTATATTCTCCTCTTTATCTAGAATTAATACTATTACAGTATATTTTCGGATATAATTTACATTTATACAGAGCTTGAACTGTATATTACGCCTCTAATCAGTGCCAAAATGTAAATGTATTATCTTTACCTTATCTAGATTATAGTTTTAAGATCATGCTAAAATGTCAGAGACAGATTACATACATACATATTATAAATATGACAACAAATTTAATAAATTCCTTTTATATTAGTACGAAAAATATCTAAATATTGGACAAATGAATGAATCACAATATATTTTTTGTAAATAAACCCTATTAATAACAGATGTTGGATGGAAGAAACTTAAGTGTATGAAACATAACAAGAAATGACAACAAACCTCAATCCTTTGGTGAACTTACTGGTTTACGTCAAATAATATAAAAGTGATATTAAACGGGTTAATCATGTAAAGAGAACTTATACATTTTATAAACAGAAATAATAATAACATATAAATGGGAGAAAAATTTAAAAATTCGTCGATAACATAAAACTGTTTGCGTTTATGGCTCACGAAAGTGTTAAACGAAATTGACTAAAATTAATGAATACGCAACCGAAATAAATTGATTAAATTGAGAATATGAAAATAAAATTGCTGTGGGCTTTTTTTTTGACTCGCTTTGCACCGCTTCAATCAATTTTTACCTAGGCTTATTTTCTATTATTGGTTGGGTTCTCATTTAGTGGAGTGAGTCTTTCAGTTTTGGAGATTTTACTACTTTTAACGCACTTATAAATGATATTAAGAAATACTTTCATGTCACAAATGCTCGCAAGTTTTAACAATATCTGGCGAAGTGAGATTCCCACAAAAAACTTTGTTTTAATTTAATAATCTTACTTCAACTTTGGTCACTTAGTATCCACCACATTGAAATAAGTTTTGGAATGCATTACATTATAGGCAAATTTAAGACTCTTAAAGAATGCTAGTCAAATATCATAATCTTACAGAAATTGCATATTGTATGAAATAGTTGTTGGAACATTTTGAAGATTTAAATGCTGCTACCAAGATGAATTTGCTTGAGTTTGCCCGTTCTTTTTCTTTATACTTGTAATGTAGTGGTAAAAATATTTGCACTCACTTCCAAGGAGAAGATAATAATTAATATAACTAACTTCATTTATTAACTTTTAGTTGCTAGTATATAGTTTAAACCTTCCAGATACGACCGCTGTGAAAAGCGCAAAAGGCCTAGCTTAGTCGCAGATGTGGCACTTACATGCGTGAATGGTTGCGTCTCGTTGCCTCTTTGCCTCTCCCCACGCTTTCAGCGGGGTTTTATGCAATTTCTGCGCTTGACTAAGTTGCACAAATACCAGTTTTCCAGATAATTGAGGAAATGCTAACACCACTGGTAGAGTTGTTAAAGGAGTTGGACAAAGAGGTGCGGCACATCGACCAGCATGAGTGTGCTATAACCACTAAACAAACAGCTGTGCGAAGTTTTTTAACAAAGATAAAAAAGCGATTTACTTTTTTATAGTGCCCGCATTGCCTATGGGATAATAACAGCTAGCATAGGCGTCTTGACTTTACATATGTATATACATATATGACATGCCACAACGAGCTTTAAACTATTATATAAATATGCATTTGCATTGGAAATGTTTTGTAACTTCTAGTGATGTAAGAAAAAGTTTTTAATATTCATGCTTAAAATGTATGTATATACAAAACTGTGTACAAACATCGGCGCATGCATTTAGATAAAAACTTATGCGAGCACCCATATTTTCTTTGACGTCAAAATTTGTTTATAAGTGTTGTCGTTGTTAGAACAACTGAATGTTGCTGTCTTCTTTGTTTCCACATATACATTTAACCCTCTTATGTGCAAAAATAACAGTTATTTTTATTTTCGAATACAATAATATTAAGGGTAATCAATAATTTTAAGGGTAATGAGATGGTTGAAAATTCTCTATTCAAACCGCCTATAAAATTAACTAATTCAAAGGTAGGTTTTATGGTGAGTATTCAAAATTTTTCAGGTTTTCAAACCTATTTGATATTTTAAATGTTTGATAACACATACATATTTACTTAAATGTTTCATTAAAAAAATTTTCGGTTTTGAATCAGATTCGAACCTAAAATCTCTAATGAATATATTTAATATGTTAATGATATATGCAATTAAAAAGCTTAAACAATTATTGTGCTTGAAGAGCTTTTGAATCAATACATATTCTATATTTCTACATTTTTATAATATCGGCTTTGAGATACCACAAATTACTGTTTTAATTTCCAAATTTTTATTGGACTACCTTCTTGCAAATCTGCTGCAACCAATAAGTAAAATCATTAACCGTTATATTGAATAATATTGACCTCTAAAATTGCAGTGAATGTGAAGCGCTCCAAACATAATCTAATAATCAGTTGCTTACAATGAATGATGTGTATGCATGACTCAACACATTGTTATAATTAGTTGAAAAATGTTTTTGAATATAATCCAGCGTTTAAGTTATTTCTCTAATAATACTAATGCGCATTATTTGAAGTGGATTTTTGCATGCTAAATTTTTCAGCACATGGTCAACAAATATTATACATATTTTACTTTAATGTTATACACATGCAACATCTTGCATAGAGTATAATAGTTTTGTTCCTCCAACAGTTGTTGTAACACCTGAAAGTAGTCGGAATAGATATAGGTTATAGAGAGACGAAGTTTTAGGATATCAGTCTATCTATCAGTTCGTCCGCCAAAATCCGATAAATCTCGATTCAACTTAGTACGCATGTTTTTGGACACTCTGTAAATGTTATTACTGCATATCTCAGTCTTATAGGCTGATGATTTCAAAATTTGGTGAACTCTATGCTAGGCTCGCCCACTATTAGAATACAGTTGTTATTACACGAGCTATTTGCCCGTTTTAAATCAAATTTGATTGATAAAAGATTGAAAATGGAAATGGAGAAAATGGATGAAGTTATAACGATGTTTCCTCAAATGTTCATAACGATTATAAAGAACCTAATAGTCGCCATTTTATTATATTTAGTATATAAGTATAGCAACCAAAGAAAATAAATTTGCAAATGCTGTGGTGATCTCTATTAAAAACTGTCAAGTGGTATAACAATATTTTTATTTCAAAAATATCAATTAGCGCTTTCGTATTAAGACATCAAATGACCACCTGCTTTATCAATTCATGAACACAAATTATAAGAAGAAAAATTTTACAGTGCACTGCAAAAGCATATGTTATGTAGATAGTTTTAACATTTTAATGCCAGTTTCCGTAAGATAAAAGTTAATGACAAATATATATACTCGTATGTACAATATATACAAGTATATAAAACATAAATATAAAAAAATATATAAAGAAATATTAAAAATGCATTAACTGTAATTAACTATTTAGTATTATATGTAGACTTTTATGATACTTGGATTTGTTGTACAAGTATATATGTATCTAATAAAATAAACATGAACTTATGTACTCACAACAACGGATGATAAAGTACAAAACCCAGCCGTCGACAAAGGCAACCAACCATTATCCATGGTCATAACAACGCTTTGTGACTGCCAATATCATGGCCTTTAGTAAGAGTGGTGTATTTTCGCTATTTTTTTTTTTTTTTGTTTTGTGTTTTGTGTTTTTTTTTATTTCATTCGTACCTTTTTTTGAACACTGTTGTCTGTTGATCACGACAAGTATTTTGAAGAAATACATACAATTACATTTCACAGTGAATACCATGCTAAATAGAGGGCGCGCAGCGAATTGCAGTAAAGTCGGGATCAACTCGTAAAAACAGTTAAATTGAAGGTGAAAACTGTATTGCGTTGGTGGTGACGCTGCTTGCTCGTGGTTTGCTAGCGGCGGCGGGATAGAGGCGGTATTACGATCGGGCAATGGCCATTAAATTTGTATATGTAGTTATTGTTGGTAGTTTTCGCTAGTGCCTCTGCAGCAACTTCCTGATATCTCGCATTTCAGTTCAAGTATAATAAGTTCACAGAAAGCAATACCTGTAATATGCTGATCAAAATAAAATGAAAGTGAGCAAATGATATTTATGTAAAATAAAAAACATACACAAGTATACAAATATATATGTACATATAAACAGGGGTACATGCAAATATTAACCCGGAGGTACTCAAGTTTTCTACCGAGTACTGTGAAACAAACATAGAAGAAATTCATAGAAGGCTATATAAGCAATAAAATAGAACAAATTTGCTATTCGTACCTACAATTTACATACATAGTTAACTGAGGATGAGGCAACAAGCTTCAAACTTGTAATTCGAACGGCTGGTAGATTTTATAAGAAGGGTATTATTAACATAACACTTGAAATTGGTTTTTATTTATTTTGCTTCATTATTCAGAAAATTTTATGCCATTTATGATTTGAATAAAATGTCGGCTGAATGGCCACCACGGCTCCGTTTTTATATCTCCACCCGTTTATGTCAGTTTTCGATGACCCGGTGCAGCATATTGGCTGCATTTTCGGTGCGAAATTTAGTGCGAGCTCTTCAAGCGTTACTCGTTGATTGGCGTAAGCCCTTCAATTAACATACCCCCAGAGAAAATAATCTAGAGGCGTTAAATCGTATGATCTTGATGACCATTTGACTGGGTTATTTCTTGAAATTACCGGTCGCCAAATTTCGCACGTCCATGTTTCCCGCATTCGGGGGTCGGTCAACATCGTGTTATAACGCTCGCTATTGATGGAAACGGCATTTCCAAAGGAATACGGCCCGATTAAGCCGCCATACCACAATCCGCACCAAACGCTCAATGTTTGGAGATGCAATCGCGTTTCCTGAACCACACGAGGATTTGACCAGAAAACTTGTAACAATTCTTGTATGTTCTCTGATTTGACTCACCCCAATAGCGACAATTTTCTTTGTTGACGAAGCCATTAAGCCGGAAATGGGCCTCATCTTAGAGACCGTGTTTTGCGCGAAGAGCTCTACAGTGGCCACCAGAGAACATGTATTTGCGTAAAAATATTGGACAATTTCCAAGAGTTTTTCCAAAGTTTCACTTCGTCATGATGAAATGGCAAACCCTGCTGAACACACTGACAAAATTTTACATAAATCCGTAAACAATCATGGCCGCCACGAGCTGTCGAAGTCACGTCATCCCTGTTGTTGTGTGGTTTTAGCGGCAGAATTCTGCCGAGTTGACAGTCCTTGGGCAGATAAAAATCCGGGTTCGTTCCGGTTACGTAGACCCGACTGTCGGAACGACGTCATTCCTATTGATAGAGGATGTACATACATACAGAAACAAATGCATGGGCCTCACGAAAAACAAACTTGAAAAGCAGATGACGCTATTGTAGCAGATTTTAAAATTCATTCTTACTGGTTTGAAACTTTGAACAGTTAAATACGAACTGGAAATCAATATGTCTATTTTGCAGAACTTAACAATTGTCAAGATATTGCAGCGATAAGCAATTCGAAATTGATGCACTTTACTATGTATCACGTCTCTGGCATAAGATTTATAAAATCAGCATATTTTACATTTCAGCTACATTAGAATAATTTTTAATGAAAAAGAAACTTTAAAATTATTCCGTACATCTAAAAGCAACTCTACCCTTTCGATTATCCGATATTTTTACAATATTTGCTCGTATTTTTGACATTTCTGTTGATTTGTGGGTTTGAAATCCTGTTGCTTTTACAACCCGTTTGCTTTTACGACAAAATTTAATTAGGATCTGCAGAAAAATGGCGTTCAAGGTAATAAGTATATACCAAATTTTATTATTAGAAGGAATATAATTGTGGTTTAATTAACAGCCAATAGATCCAAAACGTGATGAGTTTCGTCGCTATCTTGAGCGTTCCGGTGTAATAGAAGCCTTGACAAAAGTTTTTGTGAGAATAGTGAAAGAGCGCCCCGAAAATCCTCTCGACTTTTTGCGTCATAACTTGGGAGATGCTCTGCATCAAGCTGATAGTATGGCATATTTGCAGACCGAGCTGGAAGAAGCCCGCAGTGAAATACAGCGATTACGTGGTTTAGTTGAAAGCATTGACCCTGATGCTCTAAAGGAGCAACATCTACCAGAGGATGTGGAAAAAAAAAATGATGAAACAACAGAGAATCAGGAGAAATGTAGTGAGGAAGAGGCGAAGCCTCAAGAAGACTTTCAATGCGAGGCAGCTACCGATGAGATGAAATCAGTAGATTCTCCGGTGCAAGGTAATTCCTCTCCAAATAACGGTATAGTTAAAAATTCGGAAACTCCAGACGATTCAGCTTCTGCTAACAATGCAAACAAATTGACAGCAGAACAAGCCGACAATAATTGAATACTAGCCCGTCCATGATATAATAGCTTACATACAATACAGTAAGAAGCTGAGTTCCTTATTTTAGAAGGCACAAAAAGTATTATATATATATATGTATACATTCATTATACCATGCTTAATAAAGTGATATGTAAAATCGGGATTCCTTACCGATCCAAAATAATTTTTGTTTGCTTTTACAGAAATTAATTTACATTACATTCTCGAGAAAAATTCATTTTAGCGAATAACATTTAATTTTTACTGTACTCTTTTATATACATATCTTTCTTTGCATTTTATTGACTGCCCTTTCCGCTATCCTGCAACAATTAAAAAGCGGTTATCGTGGAAGTTCAGATTAATCCCCCCGGATGGCTTGTACTAATTTAATATTACTGAATAACATAATTTAAGGTGAAGGTTCTCAGAAACAGTAGTTATTCATATCTTGAATTCACAAAAATAAATCAAATATTACGCCAAATATTTATTTAATTCATTTTAATAAGTTGTATATAATGTATTTAGTTATTAATACATACAAATGATGTTTAATAATACAGTTATTGATTAATAATAGTAAGCATATGTGTGTATGTATATGTAAAACATCTTAATTTAGGGTACTATTGTTCGTGAAAATCAAAAAATTTAGCAGAAATTGACTTAATTCCAAAATATAAAGTTAAAGAAATGAAATGTATATATGTATGTGTATAAAATTTTCATGTTAACTTTACAATTTATCATGGATTGAAATTCCTCAATAGGAAAGCAATGGAGCGACGAAATGATGCTAAGAAGAACACTAGCCGCAGAAATAATGAATGACGTAGCCTACTAAAAATTTAAACAGCTGGTTAATAACAGAATGTACACTCTCATCGAAGGCTTTTCTTTGCTCACGACCATTTGAAATATTAAAGAATTTTCTTTTTACACTGTTGGAAAAAAATAAATGCTGTTAGTATTCTATAGTTATAATTTTTCTTACTTTCCATCGAGAGTACAATATATTTTTATTTTTTCCAGAGCAGCGTCGTTATACAAAGACTTAATTCAGCACATGATTTTAAAACACAAACTAATTTTAAAAAGTTTATAACAATCATTTCCCAAAAGTTGGTTAACTCAACCCGATCAAAACCGTTAGAAGCAAGATATTGGCTCGGTCAAAATGAGTGAGAAGTGTCGTTTGTTGTTGATTTATTCATGCATTTACATGTATTACATTTAAGTAAAATTTAAGAAAAAGTATTTTTGTTAATTAAATTCTTTTGTTTAATGTGTTGTTTTTTTTTTCTTGTTTCTTTCATCTCTGCATTGTTTGTTTACTTCTTGGCTCCATGTCTGTAAAACTGGTTGTTTTCCTTCCCCTTTTGATTTTATAATTCAAATCAACTTTTTTTTAACAATTACTTCGTCTTATGTTTGCTGTTGTTATATTCTTGTTTAGACATATTACTATTATAGTGTGTTGTTACTGTTGATGTTTTTATTGGTGCACATGCAGCAGCGACTATGTGTTTCGCTTATTTTTTACGTTTATCTGCCGGTTTCAATATCTGAAACGAGCACATTAAAGAGTCATCCACAGACATCATAGCGCCGGCATTGTCAAATTCACCACAATAGTTGGGTGCTGAAAACAGCGTCACCAATTGCCGTTTTGCGAAAAATTCGTAGCCATCTTCGACTACCTGATGAGCACGGCAAATCAAGTCAAAATCATGCTTTTGGAGGAATTTACCAACAACTTCAGCGCCAAATGTGAAACTAACTCCACGGTCATTCTCACCCCAACCCATGGTATCCTTGTCGGGATCAGACCATAACAAATCACAAAGCAAACCTTGGTCTGGGACATCTGTTGGCCTCATTATGCGTCGAATTTGTTCCATTGACGACAAATCAGGACTGAGACCACCATGGCAGCAAAATATTTTTTCGTCAACGATAGCAGCTACTGGCAAACAATTAAAACAGTCAGTAAAAGTTTTCCACAATTTTATGGTATAGCGACGTTTGCACTCGTCGTAAAATCCATAGATGCGATTTATACTGGCGCACTCATGATTGCCACGCAACAGGAAGAAGTTCTCAGAATACTTAATCTTGTACGCCAAAAGCAAGCATATAGTTTCCAAAGACTGCTTACCACGATCAACGTAATCGCCCAAAAATAAGTAGTTGGATTCTGGTGGAAAACCGCCATATTCGAAGAGACGCAACAAATCATAATACTGACCATGAATATCTCCACAGATTTTTAACGGTGCCTCCAACTCAAGCAAAATGGGTTGTGATAGAAAAATTTCACGCGACTTTAGACAAAGCCCACGAATTTCGCTCTCCGACAATTGTACATTCTTTCCAGGCCTTGCACCACGCACCTCCAACAATCGTGAAATTATGCTGTCAATATTCATTACGTCAGCCATATTGGTTAGCTATTTGCGTTATTAAACGTGTGTACTTGTAATTTTTACGTTTTTTATTGGCAAATCTAAAGTGTGTTCCCTGTTTAAATATTATTAAATATTTTTAGTAAATTTTTCACAGCTACCAGAAGATCGAAGAGCGAACACACAAAGACTGACAATCGGGCCGAGTTAACCCAGCGCACGAATACTATCAACATACAATCGGTTCAATGCAACAGAATATGGCCGATCCATTTCGTGTCCATATGTCCTAAGAATTTACTTTATGTTAAAATAGTCGTTGCGTAGTTATAGAATTTTATAGCTAAGCTAAACTATAGATTGCTTTAAAAGTTAATATAATTGTGATATTAATTTTTATATATTTTCATAATAATAAGTTTATTGGCAATTATTATATAAAATTACATTTTTTATACATTCGTATCTATATTGGGTATATCAATAGCTTTTGATTAAATGTTTTTTAGGTTTTGTTCTCATCCAATATATATTTTCAAATAGTGTATATGTTAGATGTCTATGCCCATAAGAACTCTTTAACAAATTCCTACGTTTTTATGCTGGGTATAAATACTACTTTCCAAGCGGTAAAGATGAGTGTACCGGTTCAATTCTAACCTAAAGTGTGTATATGTAAACACACAAGCGCAATCATAGAATAAGTGACAAGCGTATGATTGAGATAAAGGGAATGAAAACAACACAGAGTTGTATTTTTCTTCCATTCATCGAAATTCATCGTGCATATTTTACACAAGTACTGTTTACCAATGTTCATAAAAATAAATAGATAAGTACTTTTTAATGGTTTTGGTAGTTCTGTGATTAAGAATACTCATTTTGTGAACTAGATTTTTACAACTGATAATTTTTTTTAAAGTTCATAGTTAATTAATTTTTTTTCTTTCTGGCATCTCTATGGTTTATTTAAATCGTTTGCTTAATTAGTTCTGTTAATTGATAAATTTTCTTTCAAATTCAGTATTAATTCAGTAATGGTAGCATTAAAATTAGGAAATAAAAATGTTTTTTCTGATGGCGATACCGTATATATAATTGCGGAAATAGGGCAAAATCATCAGGGCAATTTGAATACCGCAAAGGAAATGATATCGGAAGCCAAAGTATGTATGCTCTTGAAATATGCACAATTCACCTTAATATTGTATCATATGGATGTGTGTGTAATTGTACACATATTACAATTATATATGTTTTAGAGAATAGGGTGTGATTGCGTAAAATTTCAAAAATCGTGCCTCCCAGCTAAATTTTCCAAAACAGCCCTTAAGCGTCCCTATATATCAGAGAATTCCTTTGGCAAGACTTATGGCGAACACAAAGAGTTCCTTGAATTTAGCGAAACCCAGTATAGAGAATTAAAAATATATTCGAAAAGTGTTGGAATAGATTTTACTGCATCAGCTATGGATGAGGTAAGAACTAGTATAGTATTTTAAAAAATTATTTAATATATATACATATATATTTGTATTAATAGTTAGTACTTAGTTTAGTGAAAACTTAATTAAATATTTTCATTGCAATATACTAATTTGTCTTATAAAACTGTCAAGCAAGCTCGAAAAAATAAACTAACGGAAAATTATAAAATTGTTAGAATAATAATAATGATAACTCCCTTCAAATCAATATAAAATAAATAGCAGTATTATAATCAAAAACATAACTATCAAACAATAAGGAAACATTATAATATATGTACATGTATGTCAATATCATTTTTTTTTTTTTAAATCTATGTTTCTATCCTCTAATTAACTTATAAAATAATATTTTATACAAGTTTTTGTCTCTAAATACTTATACTTAACCAAAATTCATATTTAGATTTCTTTAGATTTTTTAAACGAGCTGAACGTACCTTTCATAAAAATAGGCTCCGGCGATGCTAACAATGTACTGCTTTTGAGAAAAGCAGCTAAAATGGATACTCCGCTAATTGTGTCTACAGGAATGCAAACGACCGAAACTATCGAGAAAATTGTTGATATAATGCAAAAGAGTAACAAAACTAATTATGCTTTAATGCATTGCGTTTCTTCTTATCCCACTGATCCAGAGGATTGCTCTTTGAATATGATAACTCGTCTGAAAGAGTGGTATCCAAACATAGTTATTGGATATTCCGGGCATGAAAAGGGCATTGAAATAAGTAAAGCAGCAGTGTTAATAGGCGCCAGAATTATAGAGCGACATTTTACTTTAGATAATAGTCAGAAGGGTTCAGATCATAAATGTTCATTGGAACCTTACGAATTTGGAAATCTAGTTAATGAAATCAGGACATTAGGAAAGCTTCGTACATTGAATAAAGAACAAATTATGGATATGCTTCGTCATCATAAAGCTATCGAATTGGCTTTGAAAGAGATAAAGTTAAGAACTATACTTCCAAGTGAAATGCAATGTCGAAGCAAATTAGGAAAATCCATTGTTGCTACTAAATATTTGAAAAAGGGAAATTTTTTAGAGCTATGCGATATTTGTATTAAAGTAAGTGAGCCAAATGGCATATCTGCAGAATACTTTGATTCAGTAGTAGGTAAATTGATTACAGCTGATGTGAATGAGGATTCACCTCTAACTTGGAGTCACATTTCTATTTAATTTCAATTAATTTTTCTACAAAAAAAGAAAACTTATTTTATTTTTTATTAAAATACGATATTGTTTTGTTAGAATAATAAATAATTTAAAAAAAAGTTGTTCATATATTGCGTATGACATGAATTTATTTCCACAAGTTTCATTAAATTAAATGTAAATAGATTGTTGTATTAGAATAGAGTAATCATCTACTCGACTGTATCGTCATCTGCTACACCATCATTTTCTACAGCTTCCATATCTTCCTCACCCTCGCCGTCTTTCTTATCAGCTGGTTTCTCATACACCGCCTCTAGAGGAGAGACAACTACTCCGTTCCATACGGACATTTCCCGTACAATACTTGTATTTCCTTCCAAACCAAGTATATGCTTATATCCACCGTGGGCAAGGACACGTAAAAGAGTTTGAGCAGTTAAACAACAAACATCTTGCTGTTCCAAAGTCATTGCAGTATGAACCCGAATGTGACCTGGTTCACAAGGATCCGTTATACCAGCCGAACCGGGCAAAAATAATCCAGCAGAAAGCAACTGAAAAACACGTCTGAATGCCAAATTTATAGGCAATGCTTGTCGGGATGGATTGTTCATAATAGACAAATGAGCGATTAAGTCTAGCATCCAAGGCGATAATGGCGCGAATGCGTCAAATCTTCTTGTGAGATCTTTTAATATGCGAATCAACACCTTGATAGAAGAGTGATGAGCATTTTCTTCAAACCATCTTGTATGCCGAATAGCAGCGAGATGTGCTTGCATTAGCTTCTGGTCAAGGTGAATATCGGCTTCCAATTTTCGCAAATTTTGAGGGAGTGTTGCTATCAAAATACGAACTTTAGCTTGCCAATTTGCCACATCAAATCCACGATCATGTATTGTTGTGTAAATTTGATCGGCTTTTGTTAACACCTCAGTTTTCATAGCATTTTTAAGATCCGATTCTACTTTCTTAGACAATGCTTCGCACGCCTCTTTTGTTGGTAATGTTTTCAGTATAACAACGATGTCAGCAACATTATTGCCAGATATCATGGTTCCCTTTTTAAACGATCCCACTTGGCGCACCTCCTCCAATTGCTACAATAGAAAAATTATTTATATACTTGTGAGATAAAATAGAAACGTTAAACCAATGAAACTTACACAGGTATTAAAATCGCCAGGCGCCACCACAAGATTATCTAGAACTGACTGAACTTTTGTCACCAAGTTTCCAATTGAAGTTTGCTCAGCTGGTGTTGGACTGAGATCTTGGTTACGCTTTAAGAGGGCTGCAGTTAGACTAGAATCATCAACTGCAGGTGAAACTTTTGGAAATAGAACCTCAGCAACTAAAGTCAAATCGAAAGGATGCCTTGGAATAAAGGTCTTTTTAAAAGGTGGCCGATGGAGTCCACCTCGGATTGGTCTACCGCCCCGCATTGCTCCTCGCACCATTTTTCTATTTGAGGAATTAATGATTGCAATATTTTAATAGAAATGTTCTTTGAAAATAAGCACTGCAAGCAGACTTTACAATATGAAACCCGAAAAATCGATTGGAGAATTTAATAGAGGTGGGTGTAAATTATTAAAATTTATTCGGCGTGTAAATGTAGTCATCTGCAACCTAATGTACGAAATATATACATAATTTATATTTCCATATTTTATAAATTTTGATTGAATTAAACTTAAAAATAACCATTTAAAACAAAGGTATAATTTTGTATAATTATAGAAAATTTACCAGACAGTCGCAACTTAACCGATAGTGAAATCGATTGTTGATAAGTTCAAGTTTGTGGTCATTTAGCATGTTGGTAGCACTGCGGGTCGGCGTTTTTATTTGCAAATTTTCTTTTAATATTTCTATTCTCAACTAAAAGTATACAGTTAAACTAGAAGTCTAATAAAATATAATATTTAATACAATCATGGAAGTTGATAAAAATGAAAGTGTTAATGGAGTAGAATTAACTGAAGCTGAAAATGAGTTGTATGACAGGCAAATTCGACTTTGGGGATTAGAATCGCAGAAAAGGTTTTTAGACAAACATGTTTAAAACAACTTTGTTGTTACTTTAATTTTCAACAATTGCAGACTCCGCACAGCAAAAATATTAGTTGCCGGATTAGGCGGAATTGGTGCAGAAATCACAAAAAATATAATTCTTTCCGGTGTTCACTCGGTAAAGTTACAAGATGATAAAATTGTTACAGAAGAGGATTTTTGCGCTCAGTTTTTAGTGCCGCGTGCTGCAATCGGTAAAAATCGTGCAGAAGCGTCAATTGAACGAGCACGTTCTCTAAATCCTATGGTGGAGATATCGGCCGATACAGATTCGCTTTCCACCAAAGAAGCTGATTACTTCGCAAAGTTCGACGTAGCTGTTGTGATCGGTGCATCCAACTCGGAATTATTGCGTGTTAATAACATATGTCGTGAAAACAATGTCAAGTTTTTTGCCGGCGATGTTTGGGGAATGTTTGGTTATTGTTTTGCAGATCTACAGGAACACAGTTTTGTTGAGTAAGTACAGTTTTGTTAAGTAATTGTATTTAACATTTACACTTTATAATTTTACAATAATTAAAATTTCAAGGGATGTGGCAAAGCATAAAGTCATTTCGAAACCAAACGAAAAAGTAAAAACTGAGTTAGTCACTGCAGCTATCCAGCGCACTTTGAATTTCCCATCTTACGGTGCAGTTGTGGATTTCGACATCAATTCACCGGCTTATCAAAAGAAGCTTAGGCGTACTGGACCTGCTTTGATATTATTGCGCGTACTTCAAGAATTTCGAGAAGACTTCAACCGCGATCCTTGCTATAAAACTCGTGATGCTGATATTTCGGAATTGCAGCGTATCCGAAACGAAATAACAAGTGTGAGCTCGTTATCTGATGAACATTTTGGGAACGTGTTCGCACAAGTTTCACCCGCTGCGGCAGTAGTGGGTGGTGTTTTGGCCCAAGAGATTATCAAAGTAGTTTCCAAGAAAGAAGCACCTCACTGTAATGTATTTCTATTTGATCCAGACAATTGTTGTGGCTTTGTAGAAACGATTGGTTTTAATTAACAACTTATTTTCAATAAAATAAAATAAAACGAAATATACTGTAACCGATTTTATTTTTTCTGTCGTGGTTATTTAAATTACGTTTTAATAAAAAATAAGGGAAAATTTGTGTTCTCCGCAAACTTAGTTTGCATTAGATAGGTGGTCATCGATTTCAGTGGGTGTTAAACGTCTGAAGCCCTTTTCGGTGCAGATTCCCACTTCTATGTTATCTTTAGTCATTACACCTTCAAATCCGCCTTTTAAAGTTCGCATGGCATCGACTACTGCATCATCCAGTGATTGAGAAATAGAGTTATTTGATTGCAAGTTGAATCTACAGAATATTTATACGTAATTATTGTTATTTTAAAGCTAAAGGAAATGAAAATACCTTTTTTCCATATATGTTTTACAGCTTTGTGCATTTTTACCGAGGGCAGTAGCTTTCCACGCAAAAAATGCACCTGTGGGGTCACATTGGAATAGGTAGGGTTTTCCATTATTCCAACCACAAATTAGTAAAGATACTCCAAACGGCCGCACACCTCTAAATCAATATTGAATTTGATGATGAAATGACAATTAATAGTATACACATTCTTACCCTGACTGAGTATATTCTTGCATTACATTTGCAACTTGTTGGACTAATTGTGATACAGGCATAGGTTCTTTGTAAACTAAAAAGTACTGTTGAGCCATTTTACGAGCTCTTTTAAGAAGTGGGCGATAATCTGGCACTAGCCCAGAGTACACCATGCCAATATGATCGGTGATTGGTTCAACACGATGAACGCTATGTTCTTCATATAAAGGCGATTTGTACTTATTTTCAGTAGCAATCACAACACCATCCGAAGCTGAAAATATGTCATCAAGGTTTATATATTTGATTCCATATATATTATTGAGTATTTACCAACTATTCCCACTGATGTAGCGCCAGCAGCAACAGCTGCCAAAGCATATTCCAACTGCACCAATTTACCAGACGGGCTGAAAACATCACAGGACATTCATTAGGTTATGTTTTTACAAAAATTTAATAAATTATACCTAAAAGTAGTTAGTGAGAAACTATAACGTTCAGATGCCATTTTCGTTAATTATTTTTTTGATATTTTAACTTCTACAATTCCTGTACCGCAACAATACTACAAAATCCAAATGACACAGCAAAGCTAAATCACAATGTCAAATTTTCAAATGTCATATTTATTGCATAGATTGACGGTGTTGCCGGATTTCTTTTATTATTAAAGGCTATAAAATTATAGGTAAATTTGAAACAAATCATATTGAAATTGAAACACTAAACATATTTCAAAAAATAATAAATAAGTAAATAATAATTTAAAGGTATTTAGTAAGAGTTTGTTTATATTTATAGCTGATATCCATTGTATATTTATATTGTTTACTCTGCATGTGATTTGGCAAGATTTAGAGCAAACTTTACAAAGACTTCATCTCTTATTTTCCAATCTTTCAGGATTTGCAGAATTTCATGTGCTCAAGTTTCTTGTTGCTTCAATTTTTGTATATTTTTACGGGAATCAGTTTCCCTTTTTTTAATAGCTTCATTATGTTCTAATATACCTAAAATCCGTAAACTATACATCCATTGACGTTTCCTGATCCCTATCGTCAATATTTTTTGTGATATTTGAGTCGTGATCCATAAAGAGGATTGATGGATCACGAGTGAATGCTATACGTTCAATATATATCGCTCCAGTATTTATTCGTAATAAATCATGTTTTTTAAAGAAAGATATTAAAAAATGGAATTGCTTTATTATTTTTTAGTTTTTCATTAATTTTTTTTACAAAATGTCGCAAGATATAAGGCGAAGCGTGTTTGCGTGATTAAATTATATAATCTTGTATCACTTTGGAGCCTTGTGACAAATTATTGTTTTTGGGCTATCGACCTAACCTTATATAATTGAATCATGCGTGTTTGGCTTTGAGTAAAATTATTTAAAGAAAGCATTGAAGCAAAAATTAATGAGTTGTTATGCTTATCAGAAGTAAATTTAGTGAAGACAATCGTGTACTCTGTAAAGACGGATCGTAATTACCAAGGAATGATAACTTGCATTCACATGATTTTCTACCAGTAATTAAATTGAATCAAACATTAAATTACAAAAACCTAACAACCAAGAACAAAATATTGGTTATAATCTGAAAACAATTATTTGTAATATTTTCCTTCCGGTGTATGGCGATCATTCCAATTTCGACTGCGCCTGAACTTGAGCTTCCTGATTTGCTAATTGAGGAGTTTACCGTATTCAAGTGTTTTTAATTTATTAGTTTACTGAAATTGACTTACATTTAAGTTAAAATGCTCAAGTACATGCAGTTGATATAAATTATTTTACAATGTATCCAAATTATGTTTTCCGAACTACTTTTGTTGAGCCAACATTTCGAGTTTCAGCACCCTCGCAAATTGACCTTGGTGTTGTAGAATCCGATTGCCTTTTGTTGAGCGAAGCAACACTAGCTACAGCTCGTAAATTCTTAGGTCTTTTACTTTGTACAATTGAAAGGCTGCAAACCTTTTTTTGCTGAACAAACTTTGACCGCTTTAAAATAGAATACGGCGCACTTTTCGCTGGCGGTGGTGATAAATCCCCCTTAAATGGCTTAAAACCTCTAGCAAATTTCTTCTTCACTTCCTTTGGTTTTTCTTCTGATTCCTTTGAGATATCCATCTCCACTGATTGTTGTGGATTTTTTAAAGCCATTATTGCTTCCTTATTTTCCTTTATTTTTCGATATCCTTCCGGAGAGATACTTTTAAATTTCGTTTCCCTTATGGTCCATAAAGTTGCAGCGAGCTGGGCGATAACTGCAGTTGAATGTCTAACTTTCTCTTTTATTTGCTGCAAAGACTTTATTAGGCAAACAATAATTACATTTACAAGTTCATTATATTAATATAATGTATCAATACCTTTTGATCTTTTTCGAATATCGTGAGCATGGTTACGACCAAAAATGTTAGGAAAATTAGTATAAAGGATGACAATAACATTGTATCGAATGTGCCCACCGAGTCCAAGTGGTTGTCGAAAATGAAACGGAATAATTTTGAGAAACCATTACACATCTTTTGCGAATATGGGTAGGCGCAGGTGAATTCAGTCCAAAATTTTAATACCGAATCTTTGTCGTCCATTCTGCCTATTTCTCACTTGACGTAACAATTTGAAAAATTGCAAAAAAATATTTACTTTAATTGATTTCCTAAAAAATATGAAAAATTATTTTTTATTGAACATTAAAATACAGGAGAGTTAGAAAAGTTTTTGCAGAAAAGTGTTTTTATACTCTCGCTATTAGTATTCGCTATTAGGAATACAATTTAATTCTATTTTACATTTTTCAGAAATAAGCCCTACCATACAAATCAGATATTATTTGAAATGCACTTGTGAGATTTAGGATTGCATATTATTGTATGGAATTTACTAGATCTATCAAGATCCAATACTTTACAACCCACGGAGTGGAAGTCACCCAACTAATACACTAAATCTAAACACAAATTTGTTAATATCATATACAAATATAAGTCGCACATCAAATCTGAAATTTTAAATTAAAGTTCTGAGAAACTACTTACAAAGGGTGTAAATATGTGTAATATATGGATATACTTATGAATGGAATATACTATGTCTTTTAATACATTCGATTAATATTCTTAGAAAAGTAGTAATGCCCAGGGTGAATATATCTATACATATACATACATTTACCCTATACTTACAAAATAGATTGATTTGGGATTCACCACTCTGCAGTTCGTAATTCATGTGTGCAAAAAACTGTAAGCGTGTTATTAAATATCGGAAATAGTACCATATGATAATATAAAGCATTAAAAATTGTGATTGTAAATGCGCGCCATCGGCTCTATATGTACGAGACAGCCAATCGATTTAACGTAAGTTCGAGACCTGATATTGGCAGAGTCAGAAACAACAATAAAGTATTTTTCGATCAAAAATGTCGCCATGAATGTTTTCAGAATTCTTTGACATACAAGGGTCACCTTAATTCCATGAAACGTAGTTTCGATCTCCGGCAAAGTTCATCAGCCGTTCGCAGCAGCTTAAAACTTGTAGTGCCCTCTAATATTAAAAGAGGCTTGGCCAAACATTTAGCAAATCGGGCACAGGTCGGTCGTGCTCGAACATTGAGCTTCCATATTTATTTAAAATAGCTTACACGAGCAGGATGAAATGACTACACGCGCGTTTGAAAATGTGTAAAATCCCAACTGCATTTGAATATGCTAATTATATATTATACATATGTACGTATAAATGTGCCATAAATACTAATATCATATATGACCTCATAATATGTAGGTTTGTACATTTCTCATATATTTCATCATGCAAGTATGATCTTCAGTTTGTTTGGAATAGATTTTGAACAACTGAGATGAGAAACCTGTTATTACAAATCGATTAAAATCGTGTTTAAGGAACGAAAACTATAAAAATCATTTACCAAGTTAAATTTAAAAGGATAAACCTAATGTACTCATATTTACATACATATAAATTGTAGTTATTGAATATCACTTGCTTGACTTCGCAACTTTGCCAAATCGTGGATTTCGTTTTATTCTAAAGATTCACAAATATTTTCATATTATTTAGAGTTTTTACCATATTACACATAATTATATTTTTAAATAAGTATATGTATATGCATATTCAACCAAAAATATGAACTTATTGAAAGATAAATCTTTAAAAAAATCAATAATAAGTTTTAATTTTCCTCTGCATCTTCCGCGAAAGCTTCGTCTCTTGATTTCAAAAATACACTCGGATATTTAACATTAGATGTTTTCGTTCCAGTATTCGACATAAGCCAAGTATAGTTCGTTATACGAAATACTGTGCAATGTAACGGAAATTGTGTTCGCAATTTCATTTTTAAGAGTTGATTTCTGCCAGCTGAACTACCCGAAAAAAGCTGATTGCAGACAGCTTGACAATTGACTAGAAAAAATTAATTTGATTTGAAAAATTAAATTATCATTTTTTCTTAATTTTAGATTTAGCCTAAGCTATTCGTAGTTCACACAGGTGTACGTACTTAACGCACTCAACTTCTTCGGCGTCCGTGTAAATATATGATGTTAATCAATAACACATTCTTTAATTAAGCAACTTTTAGTAATTTTATGTTTGTTCATAGTCCATGTAGATATATGAAATAATTGAAATTTTAAGTATAAAAAAGATTATTTTATTTTAACATTAGTTGCATTTTTGTCCGCAAAGGGTATTATAAAAGACGGCATAAGATTTCGCTTCGGATGCAACGCACCCACCAATCCCTAACAGGTACCGAACAGGTTTACAAATGTCTTTATTTTTCTCTTCTTACAGTACATTTTACATCTCGTCGGCCTTGAGAAAAATAATCGCTTTTCTGTCCCTGTTGGCCCTAATAAAGTGTGCAAAGTATAAAGTAGCGAAAAAAACAAAATATTTATTTCGTAAGCTTAAAAACTATATATGTATACACATATAAATATATGTGCACATACCACATATGCCAACGTAAGATCATATAAATGTAAGAGTAAAATTTGCAGAAAATACTACTTCCGTACAAAATGTACTAAAGCTTTAACTAATTAATAACTCATTTCCTGACCACACTTATCTACGCCAAATTTGTAATTATTTCAAACTTAAATTCGCAAATAACCACTTATAAAGTGATTGTCGCGTGCACATATGCACATACGTATATCTCAAGCTGTTCTAAAATATAGTAATTGCTTTTACTGCTATGAGATTAGTTAAGAATGCTAACCTTTTGAAGAAGTAAATTTGTGGCAATTCTTCTACTTGTATTTGTTGGTGTTAGTATTATATTTATAAATAAGCATATATTGCTATAAGCCCATTGTTGTGCTGTTTTGTTGCAATGCCAAAATTAGGTAAACGAAATGTATTCAGTGAGCACATTCATACGCCTAAAAACCGGTAGTTTTCACTTTCATTTTCTTTTCATGCTAAGGCAAGGAGCAGTCATCCTAACCAGTTTCTTTGTCACATTTTTAACCTGTTTACATACATTAAATGACTGCTCTTTGTTTATTCACTTAGTGAATCCCTGTAAGATATTTGCTATGCATCCTTAAAGTTGTTTAATGGGTTAGAACATACTAGCGTTTTCGAAAAGTCGAGAGTTTTTTCCTTTAGTTTTTTATACTTTAGGGTCCTGGAAAGATTGTTCAATTAATATAATGGTAAAACAAGAAAAAGATATTAACTTCGCTTGCAACGAAGCCCCTTCACAAATAAAAAAGTTTCCATACAAAAACTTGATTTTGATCGGTCAGTTTGTATGGCAGCTATATGCTATAGTAGTCGGTGGTTCCGATAAATGGCAGCTACTTTAAGAGAAAAGGACGTGTGTAAAATTTCAAATCGATATCTTTAAAAACTAACTTCGCGTATATACAGACAGACAGCCAGACGGACATGTCTAAAACGAGGCAGCTCGCGTAGATCATTTACATACCATATGTATATGTATGTTTTATAGGATCTCTGATATTTCCTTCTGGGTGTTTTAAGCTTTGTGGCAAACTTAATATACGCTGTTCAGGGTATATAAAATCTGTTTTCAATCCATTGTAGTGTCGAAGCGTTTGGGTCAATCAGCTTGAGCACGTAACACGTTTTTATCGAAATTGTATCCGCTTTTGATCGCACGCATCCACTCGTAGTTGCAATTGTAGCATATACGTAATATTATCTTTCATTTAATTTTTTCATAAACAATTTTCTGCAAATTTTCTGCAAGTCATCCTCTCAGTGGACACTATCTGCTTTGTAGTTCATCTTCTATTGTGTCACTGTTACCTATCATTTGTTATATTTGAAACATATAAGAAATTCCTCAAAAATACATATTTATTCAGTATTGTCCCCATCTGCTTGGATAAACTACTCTACATATACTACATGTAGTCTTAGTTTTTTTGTCGGTTCCAAATTATTCTATCTTTGAAGGTCTAAAATAATGCACCACTATAATGTTTCATTTTAACCAGCTACGAGAAAAGCGTAGAGAGATACTGGCTCCCAATGTCTTTCACGTATTAGACCATCTAGAATTGTAAAAAATAGACTTAGTGCTAAGTGCAACTTTTTCTATTAAAGACATTGTTATTTCTAATTGACATTCGTTCTTGCAAAAAATATAGAGCTTCATACTATACTCTAAATATATAAGCACAATTTAACAATCCTCTGTTGTTATCGTTGTAACGGCAATCTCTGTTTAGTGGTAAGAAATGTATGCTCTCTAATGTGGAATGTCTACGATATCACGTCACTCACTCAATGTCTGACTCCACTTAACTCCGTATGCTAACGGTGGAGTAGAGACTACAAAATATTTTTGCTTCAGTTTTTCTATGGTTAATCTCAACTTCATATACTAATGTACGTATGTAAAATATTTTCCATTGTACTTCAATATCATTGTTTTTATGAAGAAATATAGTTATTATATTTTAATAATAAGACAGATTCTAAATAAAACTGAATATTAAACCAAAAAAAAATTGTACAATAAAAAAAATTATCAAAGCAGTTCGTTGCAACTAAAAAACACGCAGTGTCTTAAAACAATATTCCGAGATAAATTTGTCAATGATAACTACATATGTTTGTAAATAATTACCTAAAACAACAATATCAATTGATTTTTAATTTTATGATCTTTTTCTCACTTATTAATAATGCTATTTCCAAAGCACGTTTTTATCACTATTTCATTAGTACTATTACACTAATTACTATTGTTATCATCACAATTATTATGTTTCATTAAATGTGCACACATGTGGGTATATTACTGTTTAAGTTAAGCAAGAAGAATTTTTGAGACGCATAGTTGGACTAAAATAGTATTTTAGTTTTGGTACAACGGTTAAATAAATTTGTTCATGGGTAGGGCAAGAAGGTCAACATAATTCTCATGCTATTGAAATGTACACACATTGACAAATGCCTACAGACTTTAATTAGTATTTATGACAGTCTAAATCTAGTCAAAGTATTTTCTTGCAAATCACTGCCCAAGCAAACATTTTAAGTTACTTGTAACTGACTGTAAGTGCTTACCTATAAATATTTAGTTGACCCTACATACCGAAACGAATACCAATACATTTGGCGCAAAGCGCATTCGCCTCGAAAGATGCTACTTTATTTGCCTATTCTTGTTTTTCTTACCACAAATATTATTAACTACTTAATACTTGAGCTGTGTATGTATGTGTATTTGTATGCATATATGGGTGTGTATGTGTGCTTCTTTCATTTATTTAGGCTCCTTTGCTGCGGAGATCATATAATTTCCTACCTATTCATGATATTCACTTCAGTTTGTGCTGTAACTTCAGGCGAAAACCACAACAAACGCTCCAATCGCAAGCGCAGAAAAGCTCGCAGTGTAGCGATCGCTCGAATATTGGAAATACCACAAATAGCCGTACATGAAATAAGCATTGTATTTCCTCAAGTTTACGAGTCAACAATTGCGTGCAATCGTAGTTAAGAGTCGGTTGTTATTTACTTCCATTAGTCAGTCACTCTGTCAGTCGGTTAGTGGGTGAGTCGTAACAGTGACGCGGAAAGCCTACTATAACAGCACCGCCAGCGGCAAAGACAGGCACGAACGCTCCTCCAAGGAACTGCATGGTATTTGCATTTGTTTGTTTATAAAGAAATTAATACAAATGTGCTAATGATATAGAACTTCTCCGAAAAGTTTTTTGTGTGAAAACAGTGCAATTAAATATGGTTCACAATAATTAAAGTCATAATGTATTTTGTTGCTTATAACACAGCCTTGAGCAGTTTAAGCGGGAATCAATACATACAAAAATTAGAAAACTCCAAATCAATTTGAAACATATGAAATTCAAAGTTGCAATATTTTAGGATGCAGTTAATTCAATTATGGTCACAGAATGGGCTTAATTTACAACTTAATGTAGTGCCGCAGTAATAAAATGCAATGACATTTCCTCATTTCAAGTAATAGTGCACATAAAAAATCGAAAAAAAAATGATTTTGCTGATACGCATAAGAGTAAAAATGTTGCCAAAAAAGATATGAATTTGCTAAAAATGCCATTGAAAATAATTCGAGTCTACTGAATTGTGTTAGTACTAAGCTTAACTTTGGTTACTTAATATTACCAAGTTTGTGTACTTGCTAAAAAGTGAATGTGAACGTCCGAATATAACAGATATTTATTTGTTTACTAATTCACAGTACAAACATATCTATATATGCATATGTATATCAGTATATACACATATCCCTAAGTAATGCAGCCGCTGCTTTATTGCATATGTATTTATATACATATATTAGTATATGAGCTTATATTTAAATAGACATACAAGTATTGTATTTTAAACGCCTGGTAAAACTCAAAAAAATTTTATAGTATATACATATGTATGTATAAATGTAGGAAGGTAATTACAGCAGATCAGTTATTATTAGAAAAGCATCGGGAATTTGAACTCACGTGCTATTTTACACCAATCTATTCATCAACGGTGACCGCATTGATTGGTTTTGATTTGATTGAAAATAGATGTTCTACGTTGAGGTTTCGGCGAATGAAATATTTTGGCAGATTTTTAGGTATACTTATAACTAGTCTGTAATTTAGAGTTTCTTCACAGAACTCATCAGTAGCTACTTAACAAGGTCTCTAGTTACATTAGACGGCTGGAATAGGTTCAGATTATCCAGTATTATCATTACAACGAAACTGATAAAAAATATTTTAAAAAAAAAAAATGATTCTTGCAACAAACATGTGTCGTATTTTTTACATGATTTTTTGTTTTCAAAAATAGTTTCAATTAGTAAAAGTATTGACATTTAATTCAAGCCTGAACTCCTTCGCTCACCAGTCTCACTAAATCTACGATTTTGTCATTCTGATTGACGTTTATATTTTTTAAACAAGGATTTACATAAACGAAATGGAACCTCCTTAAGAGGACATATGTTATACGAATATGAACCACACTTCTATTCTGGTACCCCATACGAAAGATATTATACATTGACCCCAACGATAGTTAGCGGTCTACGGTATATGTTCAGATTCCTACAATAGTCCCAGAGTTTATAAAATGAGTATGCATATTATGCAAAGATTTAAATGTCATTATTATAAATTGTATTGGATGTCAATAGTCTCTCACCAAATATAATTTAACTATGATAACCTACTGAGTTTTTTATAGGTATATATGTACATATACATATATATAGATATTATATTACTACATTAAAACAAATGTGTATTTATTAAATTGAAAATACAAATGTACTGTTTTCAATATGTGCTAATTTTCTCATATTTACACGAACAGCTTACTGCCATAGTACACTAATGCTTTTAATTAAGTATTAAGACATATTTATGTACTCATACGTATACATACGAGTAAAGCTTAACACAAAAGACAAAAGTAACGACTCAGACACGAGAACTACCGCACACAAGGTGTGCTTAAACCCATGGTATATATGTATGTACATAGGTATATGCATATATAAGTAGGGATGTATGCTTGCATTTGATAAAATATTGCGTGTAAGGTAGTAAAAGTGCTAATTTGTTACACCAAGAGCATTTTCGCAGTTATTACGCAAATTCACTTACTTGAATATTTCCAAATTTGTACATTTCTTCTATGAATATAAATATATGTGGGTGCATATTTAGGTATTAGACTTATTAACAGCCACAGTATAAAACATTTATCATCATATAATAAAACATTAAATATTTTTAATTTTTTTCTGCTATTATGTAGCAATTTGTCTATAATCTTGTACGTACACCCCTATCTATATACTCCTAAGTATAATTCAAAATATATGAGTAAACAATTTTTTAAAATTTAAGTACAAATAATTATATTTCAGTTTACAGGCGTATTTAAAGAATATTTATTTGGTAGAATATTTATGCAAAGCTCAAAGCTCTAATAATCTAACTTCAAAATAGTATCACATCTAATTAAATTGCCTACCAAAATTTAAAACAAAGCTAAGGAAACTAAACCAATTAAAAAATATAAACACATTACTAGACCTTTTCACTGAAATTTTTTAAAATTATAATTGGGATAATTTAATTTTGATAGATGCACATGCATGTAACATATACCTATACATACGTACATACATGTACCGCAAGTTTTAATGGAATTTGCGGCTAAACACAGATTAGTTGGGTGCGATAATTGAAATTGAAAGTGTAGTGATTTATCAAGCAGGCAGTGACTTTTAAGGGTGTGTGTATATCGAGTGTGTCGCTTAAGTCTTTTGTTTATGATATACATATGTAGATACAAAGTGTGATTTTTAATAATTTAATAAAGCAAAAAGTCGACTTTATTTTACTGATGAAAATTTTAATCTTTAAAAATATTTTTTTATTTATTTTACGTACATTAATACATAAATACTAAAAATTGGAAAAAGTACAAATTCGAGCAAAACTTTTTTATCTTTTATTCTCGCCCAGATAGCCAATCACAGTCGATTCGACATAACTGAAATGAGCCCACCTTTTTTTATCTAGATAACGATTGCAAATTCGGCAGCATACTAAAAAAAAAAATGTTGAAATAGTCCATGCCGATATGACTATAATAACATTTTATATATACATTTTTTTTAATTTTACCCCTTTATTCATTTTTGGTCATGTAACAATAATAAAAAACACTAAGAAATTCCAAAATTAATTTATTTTCGAGTTTCATGAATATATGAACATAAGTTGAAGAGTTTATAATTACTCAATGTTGTTTAATTAGCAGTAAAGAAAAAAAGATATTGACTAACTGTCCAACTACGCTATATAATATACGTAGGTGCAAAAATCAATACGTTACACACATACACGTTCACGATATACAACAAATGCATACACTGTTGTTGAACAAAACAATCACAACTCAACAAATATTGACTCTGTTCAGACTTTGTTAATATGTAGTAGGCAAAGCCAATGAAAATTAGGATACACTTATGTATGTATTATATATGAAAATGTGCTACTAAGTATATGCGTTGCATCAATCGTTTACCAATACAGTAAACTTTATGCTATTAAAAAATTTGGTTTTATTTTGTTACTTTTGCTTTTATCTGTTTCTATTTTAATGCAGAAACATTTATTTTTACACAATGGAACTTCTTACTACAGTGGAACAATGTGAAAAATCTGAAGTAGCGCAGTGGTATGCCGGCAAAAGTATACTTATTACCGGCGCGACAGGTTTTATGGGTAAGGTGTTGGTGGAGAAATTGTTGCGCAGCTGTCCAGATGTGAAAAAGATTTATCTGCTGATAAGATCCAAGAAAGGTGTCGACCCATTGATACGCAAGGACCAGTTTTTTAAATGTGTCGTAAGTTTCAAAATAAAAATAGTGGATCTAAAACGCATCGGAGTTTGAAAATTATTTTTATATTGTAATTTGCTACTAAGGAGATTAAAAAAGCGTCACTGAAAAAATTCATAGTTATACTGAAAAGTATTTATCAGAAATTTTTAGATAAAAGTTAATTTAGAGTTTTAATAAAATACAATGAAAACTGCTGATACCAAAAAAGTGCTTGATGAGTGTTGTTCAGGATCTACGACAGGGAAGCAATCATTCGTAAGTGGAAAACATAATGATTTTGAATTGTCATTAATTCAGGCGACTTTTAATTTAAAACTCAAGCTAAAGTTTACTCAAAAGAAATTCAGAGTTGATGAAAAGGCAATCGTTGAGAACGATCTTATGGCGAAGCAAATATGTTTTTCACTACATAAATGGTATTAGGAGATTAGAAAATCGTTTATAATCAGTTTTTTCCGATTCACATAAATATCATGGTGTATATATGTATATACACAAATTTATGGCAGCAAACATGAGAATTAATTTTACCTTTCCACTATAGGAAATCTCTTTGAACCAACAAATCCATAGGAAGTATGGTGAAATCACAAACATTCGACAACATTTATTATAACATAAATGTTTGTACCAATTATTATTTCAATTAAGTCATTGCCCTTAGATTGGAATAGACAAACTGAAATTGTTTGTTTGTTAAATATAATAACACTTTTGAAGACATGTCGACTTTTGAAAATTAATACGCACATATATACATATATGGTATATGTATGTGCTTTAATATTTCCACACTTAGATGATGTGGTTAAATTTTCAATGAGCACCATTGTTCTTACATATGCATGTGTAAAATTTCAAAGTCATCATGTGGCACAAGCTGTTTTTATAATAATGCTAGTAATAAACGGTAATCGAATTTTTTCGTACCTTAACGTGTTGATTCCCTGTTTGGAACCCTCTCTTGGAACTTGAATGCAGAGTTTTGATACAACTCCTGACATATATCTTGAACACATGATCACATTTTTTGGATTTGCAGTGCAGTATAACATAGAATCACATTAATGGTACGAATAAATAAAAATTTGAGGAGGAAATAAACAGTTGTAATTCGTTAGAATGTATTTGTTAGCAAGCAAACAATCTGCTTTAATATTATTACAGATTTTCAACAAGATTTTAAAAGAAAATGCTGATATTGTGAATAAAATTCAAGTCATCAAAGGCGATGTGCTGGAACAAAATCTTGGTTTGAACACGAACGACACAAACGTATTGGTATCGAATGTTGAAGTGATATTTCATTGTGCTGCTAACGTTAGATTTGATCAACCCCTCAGACCTATGGTTCAAATGAATGTTGTGGGCACATTGAAATTGCTGCAATTGGCTGAAAAAATGGCCAGCCTCCAAGTTATCATACACGTATCGACGTCATACTGTCAATGCAACGAAAGTGTCTTGGAAGAACGCGCTTATCCAGCACCCCAGAATCCCTACGATGTCATAAAAATTGTCGAAGAAATGAGCGATGATGCGTTGCAGGAAATAACACCACGGTAAATATACATAACGCTTAAGAATCGTAACAAAATTATTAAAATTGTGATTTTAATTTTAGACTGTTGAATGGACTTCCCAACACATATGCCTATAGCAAAGCGCTTACTGAAGATCTCATTTGTAGATATGAGAAAAAATTGCCTATCATTATTACACGACCATCAATTGGTATGATCTTTATGATATATTGTACTTTAAAGTTATTTGATCAGATATTCGTATCAATGACATCAATTAAATCGATGAATGTAATTTTATTTTTTTTATTCAGTTACTGCAGCAATTAAGGAACCACTGCCTGGTTGGATAGAAGGTGTTAATGGACCTACCGGTCTTATGATTGGTGCAGCACGTGGCGTAATTCGTTCAATGCATTGCAACCCTGACTATTCATCAACAGTGATACCAGTAGATACAGCCATTAATGGAATGATAGTTGCGGGATACAATCGTAGCATGTCAAAAGAAGGAGGAAATGTAGAATTTTGTAATCTTTGCATATCAAAGAAAGCCCTATTTTCTTGGGGTGAAAGTATTGAAACTGGCAAGCGATTTTTCTATGACTATCCGCTAAGCTATGCATTGTGGTATCCAGATGGCTCAATCAAAAAGAATTATTATCATCATTTATTTTGTGTGATTTTCTTTCACTACCTTCCGGCATACCTCATAGATTTCTTATTATTACTTTTTGGGCGAAAACGATTGTAAGTCAATTACAGTATTATTTGTACTTATTTTATATATTATATAATATATAGAGATTTTTGAATTATTTTATTTTCTTCTTCTTGCAGTATGGTGCATGTGCAAAATAAAATTTCAACTGGCCTGAAATTATTACAATACTACACGACTAAAGACTGGGACTTTAGAAATGAGAAATTCCAATGTTTAAGCGATAATCTGAATCAATTAGATCGGGAAATTTTCGACACATCCACTAGTCAAGTTAACTGGGAGCAATACATACGTGGCTATATAATTGGCATGCGTAAATATATACTTGGGGAGAATGAAGAGACAATTCCACAAGCAAAAAAGTTTCTGCGCCGCTTGTATATTCTAGATCGTTTAACAAAGTATATCATTTGTATATTAATTTTTTGGTTTTTGTGGGCTCATCTAGAAAGCTTTGTTGAACAAAGCGATGCTATCATACGTTCATCTTTACATATAATTTATAAAGATACTAACAAAACTCTCCATTTATAGTACAATTCTTGATTTTTATAAATATAGCATGTTAATGTTTGGTACGGTTTAAGTATAATATTATTTTTAATACTCTTAAATCTCTGTCAGTTAAAAAAAAACAGACTTTTTATTAACATAAGCTTATAAATATAAACATTTATTCATTTATTATAATAAAAAGGTATAATTCTAATCAAATAAATATGTATATTCGTGAATGTTAGACTTACACTGTTCCGATAATTCTTTGAGATATTTTGAAATATCTTCCCGGTTATAATGGATCTATAAAAGCGTAGACAGTTTTTATATAATCTATATTATAGTACTCACGAAGAATGATAGAATAGAGTACTCATCATTATTCAAAAATGATACATGGAGCTTCCGGTAAAGCTCTGCAATAATAGTATAATATAATATACCAGAGTTAAATGAAGAAGGAGATGTACAAAACGCATTGTTAAAATAACCACCGAATGTAAATGGTGGAGGTTTAACAAAGTTTGCAGTGTGTACTTTCTTTTTTATTCATTTGCTTGCTTAATTATTTTCAATAATTAACTTAAAACCAACTGTTCTCAGTTTTGAGATTTACTCAATTTGCGTTTACATAGTTAAGAGTTGCCAACCTCAATTGGATAACGAAATATGTTGCGCTAACATAATAACTATCAATATATTGCTAAATAAATTAAATATGAAAAAACTCTTTTTGATTGAATGATAATTTTTCTTAAATTTTATCAGTGTTTTTATCGCTTCAACCAAAGTAATAAAATTGTATCATCTCTTATCAACGCCGTTTTAATTTTCTCTTCGGCGACGATATTTGAAATAACAGCTGTTTACAGAATGACAGACTGATGATTCTTACTACGAAAAGAACGAGGAGTTAAAAAATACGTGTAAAATCTTGATCCTGCTGGAAATAATTTTATGATTAACAAGAGAGGCAGAGAGGCAACAATCTATATACAGATCTGTTGCTTCTCCCATTTGTTATAATCAAAAGCTGGCTGTGTTATAGAATATGCTAAATGAAAAACGTGACGTATGTTTATGTGACAAAGTAAGACAATTAGGAGGCAAGTCATCAAAGGGATAGTTCTGTCCGTAAGATAGCTTATTATCATAGTTATGTAATTTATTAATTTTATTTAAATAATCTAGTGATTTACGAGTACATAATTCACGTCGAGCATGTTTAGGGCATAAAAGTGCTAATTTATTAATTAAAGCAGTGTGTGAGCCCAAATAGAATTCAAAATCGAAAAGGTTCACCCAATCCCACCTCTATTCGTGTCACCGGCACTTTAACCGTCATTAAATGTTGAAAATAAGTTGACACCACAATTGACGACTACTACATATCAAACATAATATAAAGAAAATATTTGGATAAACGTATTATTCGCATGTATAGTACAACATGAGCAACGATTCAAAATTACGGGACGTTAGTAGTGAGGCTTTAACAACAACTCCACACATATACACCAAGTCGTTGTTAACCGCCTTCGACTGGAAAGAGTTTGCTTGTGGGTGTGGGGCAGCTTTTATAAATATAGGCGTCACTTATCCCATTTATAAAATGATTTTTCGACAAATGCTCCATGGTGTGCCAATAACATCAGCTTTCGGCCAGTTACGACACGAAGGCTTGGGATTTCTTTATCGTGGTATATTCCCACCAATGGCACAAAAAACAATATCTCTGTCAATTATGTTTGGTGTGTTTGATGGTTCACGGAGATATTTAATTGACAATTTTAATATGAATGCATACACGGTAAAAATTATAGCTGGCATTTCATCAGGCACAGTTGAGGCTGTACTACTTCCTTTCGAAAGAATACAAACTTTGTTGGCACACTCAAAATACCATGCATATTTCGCTAATACCCCACGGGCGTTCAAGTAAGTTACACAATCATATTATCATCTTGCTATTAATATTATACTTAAACACGTTTCAGTTATGTGCTAGTACATCATGGATTTTTAGAACTATATAGAGGTATTGTGCCAGTGTTGTGGAGAAATGGACCATCAAATGCCATGTTCTTTATGCTTCGTGAAGAAGTGTCATTATTTCTACCGGAGACTGTAAGAATTCGTTAAATACTCACATACTGGCTTGTAATGAAATTTTTTTTGTTTATTTCAGACATCTAAAACAACTAAAGCAGCACAAGAATTTGTCGCGGGTGCAATTATTGGAGCGTCAATTAGCACACTTTTTTATCCTCTAAATGTTATAAAAGTTGCCATGCAAAGTGAGATGGGTCAAAAATCAGAAACAATGTGGACGATATGCAAACGAATCTACTTTGAGCGAGGAAATCGTATAAAGTATTTCTACAGGGGATGTGGTTTTAATTCTTTTCGCTCCTTTATTAGTTGGGGAATTATGAACACCGCATACGAAAACTTGAAAAAAATTATTGGATAAAAATGTTAAATGCTGAATAAATTTCGGCAGCCGATTATTGCGCACATGGAATGTCCATTTTGTGACAGTGTTGCAGAGGACTGAATGGAGCCGAACGACGCCTGATACTTGGTACGTTAATGTACTTTCACGCCGGGTATCGTTCTGAAAACAAATTAGTTTTGTTAGAATTTGTAAATATGAAATAAGAATTAGTTTTGTTTGAAATGTGTTATTAGTTAAATTTCTTCTGTAAATTTAAGTAAAATTAAATAGTTTTTTTTTTTATAAACTGCCCTTAGAACGTATCATTCTATATACATTGTAATGTGGTGTACGTATAATAACAATTTGAAGCTAGAACTTTATTTGGCATTCTACTAGAAAAATGAATATGTAAGTATAAGAATGTGTAAAGAGTAGTAAAAAAAACCCAAAACTAAGGTTTCGTTAATTATAAATGAATACATTGCGCATTTAGTCATTTATCCATAGCAAACTTTTAAGCTGTTAAAATGCGGTTTTGTAAAATACTACTATTAGCTCACATGCAACTAGTCCCTATAAGTACATATTTATTTTGTATTCACAATACATTCACTCACTTTGCTATGAATATTTCAAGAGGTCAATGTATTATAATTTATTAAGGCGTATAAAGCATTTCTCCTGTATGTAAATTGCAAATTCATGTAATATTAAAAACCATTATAATTATTTACTATGGAATATAAATACATATGCATATGCCTTTAGAAGTATTACTGCTGTTATTGTCATTAGTATGCTAACATACATAAATGTTTCTGTTCATAATAAGATCAAAGGCTCAGCGCGCAGCCATTACTTGAGTGACAATAAATTTGATTCTACATACGTCTGCGTATCACATAAGAATGTAGGTTCAACTTACGTCCGATTATTTTTGTATATTTCGTAATAATGCTTTAAAATATCTAGTCATTTGCCCTTTGTATCAACAGGTCGACAGAAGTTGTATTAAATGTACAAATGCATAAATAGTTACCTGTACATACACATTATATATTACTGTTCATACCTACATACACACATATGTTGTATTAAAAAATGACAAAAATAAATTAATGGAAGTAAAATCATTAACTGCTGCAAAGTAGTCAGAAAATGTTGGTTTTACTGATGTATATAGGAACTCATATAAAACAATGTAAACTGTCGTATTAAAGTTAGTTTCACCGAAAATTTATTCCAATTACGTTCGAAAATGTCTCCAAGTACGGAAAAGTTGGATAATTGTTACTGTGTGCAATTGCGTTATTTATTTTTAATATTGTGTTTAATTTTAACATCATATTTCTATATTTACATTAAACGTAAACAATTCAAAAATATCACAACGAAAATACCGACAGTTGTTGGACTACCATTTATTGGGATAGCATATAAATTGATACCTATCAAAAGTGAGCTGATTTCAATACACTAATTAAGAATATGCTAATCGAAATGTATTTTGTTGAAAACAATAGGATTTTTGTACAGAATTAGTTCATATTTCGAAGAATTTAATACATCAACATATTGTGCGTGGCTGGGTACATATCCAGTAATTGTCACTATAGACCCAGATATCATCAAAACTGTTACATCATCACCGGAGTTTTTAAACAAAGCGGAAGTTTTATATAATCCTATTGATAAGGCTATACCGAAGGGAATAATTACCAGCGAAGGTAATTAATTTAATATTGTGCGTATGGAGAAACTTCTAAAAATAGTTAAATGGAATCGTGTATTTTTTATTAACTAATTGTTATCAAAATATTGAAAATTTTGTTGTTGTTGCAACCAGGGGTTAAGAATTTTTTAACTATAACATTTTATGATGTTGGAATTAAAAATTAAAAAAAAAAATATTTTTAGATGCCACTTCAAAATTGAACATTTTAATTTTTAATCGGGATTCAAAATTTAATTGTTGGTAAAAAATTTTAAATTAAAAATTTAATTTAAAATTTAATTTAAAAGTTGGGATTTTTAATCCCAGATGATGGCTTTGTGCGAGCTCTAGTTCAAAATCGCAAACGAGAAAAAATGTTAATTCGTAATATCGTATTTGGGGAAGCTTCAAAGATCTCGTTTCGATATATATGTACAGGAATTTATCTATTATCTAACACCATCAATTTCCGCCATTTTAGTTCATACATGGAAACATAATCGCAAACTAATTAATACCTATTTCAATAATAAATTACTGATGAGCCTTATTCCGCTTTTTAACCGAGGTGCGAATACTAGCGTTAAACGGTTGAGTAAACTTTCAAATGGTGGCGAACATAAGCTATTTGATCTTATTAAACGCGGTACACTTGAGATAGCGATAGGCAAGTACTAAGTACCAATTAAAAGGCATATAATATATTATAAACTTACAAATGCAAATATATTCAAATTATATTGACTTTCATATTCATGACATTGTCTTTTTTAGAAGCTACTATGGGCATTGACATGAGCGAAGGTGCCTGTGAAAATTATGAGCTTATCGATTCATTTACGGTGTAAGTGAATACATACATTAATATCTTGGTAAATTATTTCATGAATATTTTATAATTTAACATTGTCTATGTTGCTTTATGGAAAAGACATGAGTGCGTGTGAAGTTGTTTTAACTACTATTGATTTTGATGATTTTAGATTACATACCCTAATTTTAATTGTAACTTATTATTCTGTAACTATTTGATTGAAGATAATTCTTTCATAACTACTGAGTAACCACACATCTGATTTCCGATATTTTACTTTCATATTATTAATTATTTATTTTTAATTGTATATAGTTTTACAAGAGTTTTCGATTAAAATGATATTAATATTACTATATGCAACAGTTTAATGGAAAGAATCGCCAAAGATGCTGCATGTTCCACGTTGGGTCTTGGTTTCTTAGCGCGCACACCTGGTTATTACAAGGCGCGTCGCTTTTTGCGTAATTATATGAATAAGGTAAATAATTTATTTATTCATTCTTACTAGAAAAATTAGTATTTATTTATTCTAGTTGATAGAAGAGCATACGAACAATAATAATATGCCTAAAGTTGAAGAATGGCAGTATGATGAAGATACAATGAGCTCATTTTTAGATATTGCGCTCAATTATTGCAATAATGGAAAATTTAAAAAGGAAGATGTCATCATGGAATCTATCAGCTTGATTGGCGCGGTAAATAAATCGTGATCGTCGAGCTAAACCAAACCATTATGTTAAAATACTATGCTAAATAATTATTGGTGTACTTTTTACCAAATTAAATTTTCTCTTTTTAGTCCTTCGAAACAGTTGCCACCGCAATTTATTCTGGCTTAGTAATGTTGTCTATGCATTCGGATGTACAAGAGAAACTTTTCCAAGAAATCCATTCTATATGGCCAGAAAAAGACATCCACGTTACTTACGAGCATCTGAAAGACGTTCCCTACTTAGATATGGTGATGTCGGAAACGCTACGACTTATGCCATCGATACCAATAGTGGGACGTCAAGCTATACATCAAACAAAATTAACGTCAGAATTAATTTTGCCACCAAAAATTCAAGTAATAGTACCTATATTCAGTTTGCATCGTGCGGAAACTTGGTGGGGACCAAAAGCACATCTCTTCAATCCTGAAAATTTTCTGCCTGAAACCATAGCCAAACGAAATCCATATGTATATATGCCGTTTTCAAAAGGCGCCAGAAACTGCATTGGTAAGTAGAAATTCTTCATGTTAGCTATTTACCTTTATACAAATACAAAAATTCACTTTAAATTTCTTTCAGGCTGGCGTTATGCTGAGATCGTAGTAAGGATTTTGCTTATAGTGCTCGTCCGGAACTTCAAATTCACCACATCATTCAAATATCAAGATCTACATTTCGTAGACCACGTAAGTTTGTGGTATGACGTTGAACCAAATTTAAGCATTGAATTAAGAAAAATATGAAGCATCATGTAAATTAAAGCGTTACAAATTAATAAACAAATATTTCAGATGAATTTGAAATTATTCATAGAAAAATATACATATGTATATCTATGTAAATATACATTTCAATGCTCATATTGTAGTCGAATTAAATAAAAAATGTGATCTGTCTATGAAAGATAACAGTTTGCAAGTATTTATAATTATTAATTTTTTGTATTTATTCATTTTAACATTAAATAAAAAATTCTATTTTATTTTATGTATGTATGTTTGTAAAATAAATAAACAGTTTTTTCTTTCATATCAATGGATAACTGCGACTAAAACTGATTAGGTTTTAAATATCAAACTTGATTAAATAAGAGAAAAAGAAATTTAAACTTTTACTTTCATTGGTTTCTTCAGTTTTGGAAAAAGGAAAAAGTCGCTGGGAGCCAAATCTGGTGAATACGATGTTTGAGGCATGTTTACGCTTTCGTTTTTTATCCAAAAAATTTTTAGTGATTAGCATTGATGTGTGAGCTGTTGTTTTTCCACAATTCCAATCGATTGAGCAGTGTTGCTTCATGCAAACGTTGCATAATTTCCTTGTAGTATCCCTTTTTAACTGTACGACTTTTTTGCAGGAAACCATAATGCACCACACCATTATAATCAAAGAGAACAGTGAGCAAAACCTTCACGTTTGATCGAACTTGAAGTGCCTTTTTCTCTAGCAGCTTGTATGGGCCCTGGTTTTGAGGTCATAACCATTTACCCATGGATCTTTGTTGAGTCAACAACTCCTGAGCGATACTAATGAGACTTGCTTTTGCTCAAAATTTAGCAATTTCGAAACAAGCTTCGCTGCCACAAATCTCATGCCCAAAACATTCGAGAAAATTGAATAGCATGAGCCAATTGATATGCCAACATCCTCCGCAACTTCCCTATAGTGATTCAATAATTTTCAAGAACAATTTTTTCACTCTTTCGTTATTTTTATCGCTTGTTGACGTAGTCGCATTTCCAGGATGCTCATCGTCATCAACGACTTCTTGGCCTTCTGTAAAGCGCTTGTACCACTTGAGACAAAGTAGACTCACCGAATGCCACAGTCAACATTTCAAGTGCCTTGGAGCACTTTATTCCATTTTCAACGCAAAATTTAATACATATTCTTTGATCCATTTTCTGTTGTGAGAAACAAACTAGTAATCGAAATTGTCTCCTAATGCAAGCTCATGCTTAACATATGTGTTCGATTATAACAAAAACAATATACCGATAATCCAATGTACCCAGCTCGCGAAAAATCAAAATTCACCTATTTCTTTGAACATACCGCGTACATGCATAAATCGTACTTACGACAGTCTGGTCTACATTACCGAAAAGATCCCAGAATTATATCCGGCCAAAGACTGACAACTAATCATAGTATAGAAATTGAAGATTTTGCGTTTCCTCTGAGTTTTAACGCTAAAAGTCACATGCCTTATAATAATGATAATAAAATATAGAGATTATGAATTATTTGAACTTTAAATATTTAAATGATTATTAAAATTCAATAAATAATTTAAA